TGCATGCACGCATGCATGCATGCATGCATGCATGCACGCATGCATGCATGCATGCGTGCATGCATGCATGCGTGCATGCAGCGCAGAAAGGGCTTTTCGAGGGGTTTCCCGCGGACGCGGAGCCCGCCGCTCACTCAGTGATGCAATTAGGCCGGACTCGCAAAGAAGGCAAATGCTGCATGCATGCACGCATGCATGCATGCATGCGTGCATGCATGCGTGCATGCATGCGCGTGTGCATGCAAGTGGTCACTGATGCATGCATGCACGCACGCGTGCATGCATGCAAACAAACAGGCATGCATGTGAATGGGCGTTTGCAAGAAGGAGCCTTTGGTGCATGCATGCGTGCGGCATGCATGCATGCACTACACTGTGTACAGCCCCGCGCATGCATGCATGCGTGCATGCATGCACGCATGCATGCATGCATGCATGCATGCATGCATGCGTGCATGCGTGCATGCATGCGTGGATGGGGGGTTGGTTTTTTGGTTGTGCGAAGTTGCGGGGCTTGGGGCTTTGGAGGTTTCTTTGTTTCTTTTCTTTTTGCTTCCTTAGCCCCGAAGTAGACAAATGAAAACAACAGAACTTAACTCGCAAAAGCTTCAAAAACCCAAATTAGCCCGCTGCATGCATGCATGCATGCATAACGCATGCATGCATGCATGCATGCACGCATGCATGCATGCATGCAAGTCTGTAGCTTTTCGAAGTCTCTAGCGCCCAGAGGGGAAGCCGCTGCCTGGCGCCCTAGGGCGGCGCGGCCAAGGACAAAAAAGTTAGGGTTTAGGGTTTAGGGTTTAGGGTTTAGGGTTTAGGGTTTAGGGTTTGGGCCACACGACGGGAAGCCGCCAGTTGTTGCGGTACTTCCTGCCGGCCTGGACCAGCGGGTCGCCCCAGAGGAGGCGGGCCCTGAGGAGGTCCTCGGAGGAGGCGATCCCGATCCCGATCCCGATCCCGATCCCAGGTGTGGGGTGTGGGGTTCTTGCTGCTGCTGCTGCTCGCAGCTGCGCCCACCAGGCTTCTTCGGGGGCTGCGCCCTCGGGGTGTACGTACACCCCAGCGCCCCACACTTCCCCAGCCCCCAGCTCGCTCGGCAGACACAGTCTGCTGCGCCGCAGCGCAGCAGCAGCAGCAGCAGCAGCAGCAGGACCCAGCAGCAAACGCGCTGCGCCCAGCACCTCCCCCACGCTGCGCGGGGCTGCTGCTGCTGCTGCAGCGGGTGGGGGTGCTGCTGCTGCCGCCGTTGCTGCTGCTGCTGCAGTTGCTGCTGCTGCGGCGTCTTCCGCTGCTCCTGCTGCTGTTGGGGCTGTTGCTGCTGCCTGTGCTGCTGGGACTGCTGATGCTGCCTGTGCTGCTGGGATTGCTGCTGCTGCTGCTGCTGCTGCTGCTGCTGCTGCAGGTGGGGATTGGGTTGTTGTTGATGGTGGGGTTGTTGTTATTGTTGGAGTTGTGGAATTTGTTGAAGTTTTTGAATTTTTTGAATTTTTTGAATTTTTTGAATTTTTTGAATTTTTTATTTTTAAATTTTCCGAAATTGTTGAAAAACTTTCTTCCTGCAATCTCCACCGCCGCCGCTTCTCAGCGCCAGAAATGCACCCAGAGCAGCTTGCTGCTGCTGTTGCTGCTGCTGCTGCTGTTGCTGCTGCTGCTGCTGTTGCTGCTGCTGCTGCTGCTTCCGTAGTATTATTGGCACTTCCTTGCAAGGGCCCTTCGACCTCCTCAGTAGAAACCCCCAAAAGCTGCCGCAGCCTCTGACGCAGCAGCGGGTACTGCTTCTGGGGGCCCCCCTGGGGGCCCCTTTGGGGGCCCCCCTGGGGGCCCCCTTGGAAGTCCCCCTGGGGGCCCCCTTGGGGGGCCCCTGCAGGTTGGGGGCCCCCTGGAGTTTGGGGGCCCCCCTGGGGGCCCCCAACAGCGCTGTCCCCCTGGGGCCCCCCTGCAGGAGCCCCAGGGGTGAGACCCTGCAAAAGGGGGGCCCCCTGGGGCCCCCCTGAAGGGCCCCCAGGGGCCCCCTGGGCCTCCCCTTCTGTATGGCCCTGGGGGGGGCCCCTGTGGGGTCCTGGGGCCCCAGAAGCTGCTGCTGCATGCATTTGAAGGGCCCCATCTAAAAAGCCCCAAACGCCCATTGGCTGGCCTATATAAACCCCACACCATGTGGAGTTTGCCCCAGGCAATTCGCCAAAAGGAATATTTAAAGTACCCTCACAGGGGCCCCCTGGGGGGCCCCCCAGGGGGCCCCCAAGGAGACCCGCAGGGGGCCCCCCAACGGATAAGGGGGGCCCTCCAGCTGGCTCAGTAAGGGGCCCCCCACGAAGGCCCCCATTGGGGCCTTCAAGGGGGCCCCTTAGGGGCCCCTCAGGGGGCCCCCCGGGGGGGCCCAAAGGGGGCCCCCGAAAAGGTACCTCATATCGTTTGGGGGCAGCCTCACTGGCTGCTACGGGCCCCTGTGGGGGCCCCTCAGGGGCCCCCACAGAAGTCCCCACAGGGGCCCCCACAGGGGCCCCCAAAGGAACCCCCAAGGGGGCCCCCAGAGAGCCACCCCCAGAAACCGCTAAGGGGGCCCCTGTGGGGGCCCCTATGGGGGCCCCTGAGGAGCCCCCTATGGGGGCCCCCAAGGGGGTCCCTATGGGGTCCTCTAAGGGGGCCCCTAAGGGGGCCCCTAAGGGGGCCCCTAAGGGGGCCCCTAAGGGGGCCCCCAAGGGGGCCCCTAAGGGGTCTCCTAAGGGGGCCCCTGAGGGGGCCCCTAAGGGGGCCCCTAAGGGGGCCCCTGAGGGTGGAAAGGGTGTGGCGGAAGGGCCGTAAGTGCGGGCAATGAAATAAACTGGTTGGCAAAGATCATTATTGGAAAGAAGGAGTTGTTGGCTGAGTTGGTTTGGGGTGTACGTACAGCTGCGCGGGCGTGGGGTGTACGTACAGCTGCGCGGGTGTGGGGTGTATGTACAGCTTTCTCCGCGGCAGTAAGAAGAATACAAAAGTGCCAAAAGCTTTTCTTCTTTTGCATTTCTTTTTTCAAATCCAAAAGAAGACAAAAACCCCCCGAAGCTCAACGGCGCGCGCGCTGCGCCACAGAACGCAACACCGGCGAGGGTTTAGGGTTTAGGGTTTAGGGTTTGGGGTTTAGGGTTTGAGCCTAGGGTTTGGGGATTGCGGCTTAGGGTTTAGGGTTTGGGGTTTAGGGTTTGGGCGTTGGGCAAAGGGGCAGCAACAGAAACTCAGCGGTGAAGGGTTTAGGGTTTTGGCACTTAGACAAAGAGCAGGGAAGGCTAGGGTTTAGGGTTTAGGGTTTAGGGTTTAGAAAACCTCGAAAAAAGCGGCAAGAGCAGAAGAAAGTAAAAAGAAGTAAAACAGAAGAAGCTTTAAGAGAATCAAAAGGATTAAAATGATTAAAAGAATTAAAAGAATTAAAATGATTAACAGAATTAAAACAATTAAAATAATTAAAATAATTAAAATAACTAAAATAATTAAAATAATTAAAATAATTAAAAAAGAGAACATCAAAAGTCCCACACCTGAGGGCTTCCGCGCCTTTGCCTCTTTGGGGGAAAGCCATGCGGTGAGGAGCCGCTGCTGCTGCTGCTGCTGCTGCTGCTGCTGCTGCTGCTGCTGCTGCAGCTGCTGCAGCACTTTAAGGGGGCATAATTTCGTTTTTAGCAGCAAATGATTATGCATAGAATACTTAAGAGACTTCTTTGCTGCTTTAAGTTTCTGGGGGCCCCCGGGGCCCCGCTGCGGGGGCCCCTCCTCCCCGCTGCTGCCGCCGCTGCTGCTGCTGCTGCCGCTGCTGCTGCTGCTGCCGCTGCTGCTGCTGCTGCTGCTGCTGCTGCCCAGGTCGTAGCCCCAGGGAGCCTCGAGGTCCTGCTTGTTGCTGCTGCAGGGCGGGAAATGGATATATGGTTGAATTAAACAAATCTCAGAATGCGGAGAAGACACAAAAGAAAGAAGACACAAAAAGCGGCGGTGGTCCGGCAGCAGCAGCAAAGACGAGGGCGAACGCGGCAGCCACTGCAGCTGCAGCAGCAGCAGCAGCAGCAGCAGCAGCAGCAGCAGCAGCAGCACAGCAGATGAGGGGGCTTTAAAGACACGAAAAGAAGCAGAAAAAGAGATTAAATATGTTGAAAGAAATAAAAGACAAAAAGACAAAAAAGATCAAAAAGATTTAAAAGATTAAAATGATTAAAAGGATTCAAAAGATGAAACAAAAATGCCAAAAAAGATCTTCAAAGAAACTGCAAAGACAGCCAAAAAATTAAAACAAATCAGAAATGGAATCTCCAAAAATAAAAAATAAAAAAACAAAAATTTTAAAAAGAAAAAAGGACTTTCAAAGGATTTTGAAAAGACTAAAAAGGTCTTTAAAATATTTTTAAAAAGACTTTTAAAAAGACTCTAGAAGTACTTCAAAGGAATTTAGAAAATACTTTTGAAGTCCTTTTAAAGTTCTTTGGAAGATCTTTCAAAAGGATTTGAAGAGGCCTTCAAAAGGACTTGAAAAGAGCTTTAAAAGGGCTTTAAAATGGGCTAAAAAGTGCCAAAATTTGATTTAAAAAGTTAAAAATAAATTTAAAAAATTAAAAAAAAAATTAAAATTACCTGCAAAGGCAAAGGCAAAAAGGCCGTCTCCAAGTGAAGGTCTTTGCGCGAAAGCCCGCGGGGGCTGTGGGCCCCCAGACGCACAAAATATAACACCCGCTGCGACTGCAGCAGCAGCAGCAGCAGCAGCAGCAGCAGCAGCAGCAGCAGCAAATGATGATGAGGGAGGTGGTGGTGGTGGTGGTGAAGGTGGTGTGCTGTTATTTGTGTTGTTGCTGCTGCTGCTGCTGCTGTGGTGCTGGTGGTGTTTGTGGTGTGGCCGCTGCTGCTGCTGCTGCTGAGGCTGCTGCTGCTGCTGCTGCTACTGTGAGAAGCAAATGCTGCTGCAGCAGCAGCAAGAGCAGCAGCAGCAAAAGCAGCAGCAGCAACATACGCCCCGGCCCCAGCAGCAGCAGCAACAACAGCACCATGAGCCCCAGCCCAGCCGCACCAGCATCAACCCCAGCAGCAGCAGCAGCAGCAGCAGCAGCAGCAGCAGCAGCAGCAGCAGCTCACGAGCCCCTTCCTGGAAGCAACAGCAAGCCACTGCAGCAGCGGGTCCCTCGAGAAGCAGCAAACAGCAAATCTTTCCATTTTGGCTCCGCTTTGGCCGAAGCGGCCGCCCACGGGCAGCTCAGTGTGCACTTTGAGGCTGAGGGGCTCTCTTGCTGCTGCTGCTGCTGCTGCTGCTGCTGCTGCTGCGCTGCTCCTGCTGCCAGCAAGCCAGCTGCTGCTGCTCCAGCCCCCAGCAAGCGCGCTCCCCTGCTGCTGCTCATCTTCAGCTGTGGGGCTCTCCCCTGCAGCAACCGAGCGGCAGCAGCCCCGCAGGCACAAACGCTAGCTAGCTAGCTAGCTAGCTAGCTAGCTAGCGAGCTAGCTAGCTAGCTAGCTGCCCAGATGGCTGGCTGGCTAGCTGGCTAGCTAGCTAGCTGGAACAAGCCTGGAGAGGTAACTAGCTGGCTAGCTAAGAAGATAAACAGCAAGCTTGAAGCACGGGTACCTGGCGAGGCACTGCTGGTCCGTGGCTAGCTAGCTAGCTAGCCAGCTAGCGAGCTAGCTAGCTAGCTAGCTAGCTGGCTAGCTATTTAGCTAGCTAGCTAGTCAGCTAGCTAGCTAGCTACAGTAATCCTTAGTTAGTCACTTAGTTATTTATATAGCTAGCTAGCTAGCTAGCTACAATGCTACCTAGTAGCTAGCTAGCTAGCTAGCTAGCTAGCTAGCTAGCTAGCTGCGCAGGCAGCTAGCTGCCTAGTTAGCTTACCTTGTAGTATATCTTTAGCTGCGGGAAGCCCTTTCTTATCCCTTGAATGAAGAAGACGCCGCGACGTAGAAGAAGAGCCAGCAGTGCTGCTGCTGCTGCTGCTGCTGCTGTTGCTGCTGCTGTTCTGCGCGTCTTCGCTCCCTCGTGACGCCTCGTCTTCCTGCTGCTGCTGCTGCTGCTGCTGCTGCTGCTGCTGCTGCTCGTCGTCGCTGGCAGTCTCCATTTGCCTGCACCTCCAGAAGGCCTCGAGGGGGTCGCGGGTCGCGTCTTCAAGCCCTGCTGCTGCTGCGTCTGCTGCTGCTGCATCTGCTGCTGCTGCTGCTGCTGCTGCTGCTGGTTCGAGAGACAGCAGCACAGCAAGCTTCTCTCTCCAAGCTAGCAAAAAGGCCCCTCCCTCTTGGGCCTCCAGATGGTCAAATGCCCCAGCCCTCGCAGTGGGGAAGCGGTACCTGCCACCCAAACCCTAAACCCTAAACCCTAAACCCTAAACCCTAAACCCTAAACCCTAAACGAAGCACTGGGCTACAAATGTTCCATTCCTTGTGCACGGGATTGTCGAGGCAGCAGCAAAAGCAGGAACAGCAGAAACGGCAGTTTCAGAGCCAGAGCAGCAGCAGCAGCAGCTTGAGAAGCAGCAGCAACAATGTGAACAGCAGCAGCAGCAGCAGCAGCAGCAAGCAGCAGCAGCAGCAGCAGCAGCAGCAGCAGCAGCAGCAGCAAATTACCTGGCCAAGACTCTGTGGTGAAGGTCCACGACGACAATCATCCCGCAGGGCAGCGCGAGTGCGACGAGCCACCTGCTGCCTTCCCACTCTGCTGCTGCTGCTGCTGCTGCATCCGCTGCTGCTGCTGCTGCTGCTGCTGCTGGCGGCAGCGGCACCAGCGGCAGCCGCTTGTCTGTCTCCAGCTGCTGCCTGAAAACGCCCACGGGAAAGTCCCTGTGCAGCTGCGAGAGGGACTTGCTGGGGGACACAGCAGCAGCACGCAGCCCCTGCTGCTGCTGCTGCTGCTGCTGCTGCTGCTGCTGCTGCTGCTGCTGCTGCTGCTGCTGCTTCTCGCCGCTGAGGTGTACGTACACCCCGTGAGTCAGCCGCAAAGAGGCATTCGGATTGAACTGAAATAATGCATGCGCATAGCTGCTCAGCCGCAGCCTCCCCTCCACCTTTTCTGCAGATCCGGGGGGCCCCCGGGGGCCCCTGGGGTTGCCCCGCCTTAGCCGCTGCGCAGGGGCAGTTTGGCTGCGTGCAGCGCGCTCCTGCTGCTGCTGCTGCTGCTGCTCGTGCTGCTGCTCGTGGTGCTCGTGCTGCTGCCGCTGCTGCTGCTGCTGCAGTTCCTCAGAAGACGTGGGGGGCCCCTTTGTGCTGCGCGCCTCCGCCGCTGCAGCTGCAGCAGCAGCTGCAGCAGCAGCAGCAGGCCCCTCCGAGTCCCAGGAGGCCCCTCCCGCGTTGCTGCAGTCCGCGCCTCTCTCCGGCCCTCGCTGCTGCTGCTGCTGCTGCTGCTGCTGCTGCTGCTGCTGCGGGGGGTGCGGGGCTGCTGCTGCAGTGAAGGCGAGGCAAGCTGCTGCGAGCTCGAAGGGCAGCAGCGAGACGCAGCGCAGCACTTGCTGCTGCGACAAGTCCAGCAGCAGCCGCAGCGGCGGCTGCTGCTGCAGCTGCAGCAAAACTTCAGCAAACAAATAAGGGCCCCTGAAGGGGGGCCGGGAGTTGGGATCGGTGGGATCGCGATCCCACCGATCCCAGCTCCGCGCCCGCAGCACGGCCCAGCCCTCCGCACTTTCCTGCACCAGGTCCTCCCTCCCCCTGCTGCTGCTGCTGCTGCTGCTGCTGCTGCTGCGGCGAGGCTTGCTGCTGCTGCTGCTGGGAGCGCCGCTGCTGCTGCCGCTGGAAGCGCTGCTGCTGCTGCTGCTGCTGGGAGCGCTGCTGCTGCTGCTGCTGCTGCTGCTGGGAGCGCTGCTGCTGCTGCAGCTGCCGCTGCTGCTGCTGCCGCTGCTGCTGCTGCTGCTGCTGCTGCTGCTGCTGCTGCTGGGGGCTGGCTGGGAGTGGGGGCAGCAGGTGGGCCCGGCCCACCTGTCTTGCAGCCAAAAAGAAGACAGCAGCAGCTCGTGCTGCTCTTTGCTGCTGAGGGCCCCCACCCGCAGCAAATGAAAAGTCTGCAGCAGCAGGGGGCCCCCCAGCAGCCTGCAGGGCAGCAGCTCCAGGCGCGCCAGACGCCGCGGGTAGGGGGCCCCCACTGCATGCGTTGCTGCTGCTGCTGCTGCTGCTGCTGCTGCAGCGGGGGCTCCTGCTGCTGCTGCTGCAGCGGGGGCTCCTGCTGCTGCTCCGGGTGCTGAGCTTGCGGGCGCGCTTGCTGCTGCTGCTGCTGCTTCCGCAGGGTTTGCGGGGGCTGCCTTGGGGTCCCCAGCAGCAGCAGCAGGGCATTCCCCTGCTGCTGCTGCTGCTGCTGCTGCAGATGATGCCTTTGCTGCTGCTGCTGCTGCTGCTGCTGCTGCGATGGGCCGCAGCGCGAGGATCTCTACTGCCCCTGCTGCGTCCACCAAAACGAGGCAGCAATCATTGCATGCAAAAGAGACTGAAGTGCAGCGGAAGGGCGGAGGGCCGCGTGCTGCTGCTGCTGCTGCTGCTGCTGCTGCTGCTGCTGCTGCGGTTGCTCCTGTTCGTTCATCTCTTGGTGCTGTTGCTGCTGCTGCTGTTGCTGCTTGTTCATCCCCGACTGCTGCTGCTGCTGCTGCTGCTGCTGCTGCTGAGACGGGCCCATCAGAGCAGCGGCGGCAGAGACCCAGGTGGCAGCGGTTGCAGCAGCAGCAGCAGCAGCGGATCGGCTGCAGCAGGGGGCCCCCTGCAGCAGCAGAGGGGCCCCCCAGACACAACTCCCAGAAGGGCAGCAGGTGCCTTGTGTCCACAAGAACGATGCAGGACCCGTCTCCTTGCTGCTGCTGCTGCTGCTGCTGCTGCTGCTGCTGCTGCTGCTCTTGCTGCTGCTGCTGCTGGGTTTGCTGCTTGTCCTGCTGCTGTGCTTCTTGCTGCTGCTGCGGACGCTCCGGCTGCTGCTGCTCTTGCTGTTCCTCTGCCCCGTGCAATGCGGCTCCCGCTCCCACTGCTGCCGCTGCTGCAGCAGCAGCAGCAGCAGCTGCTGCTGCTGCTGCGGAGTCTGCTGCTGCTGCTGGGGCATTTGCTTCTGTCTTTACCTTTTTCCTGGGACCAGACCCAAAACCAAAAGTACCAGCCCTCCTGCGGGGCCCCTCAGGGGCCCCGCAGGAGGGCTGCTGCTGCTGCTGCTGCTGCTGCAGCAAATCCCCCTGCTGCTCCTCTTCTGCTGCTGCAGAGGGGCTCGAGCAGCAGGGCCTCAGGCCCGCGGGGGCCCCCTGGGCTGGGGGCCCTTCTGGGGGCCCTTCTGGGGGCCCCCCAAGGGGGCCCCCAGGGGGGCCCCCAGGGAGCTCTTCAGGGGGCCCCCCAGGGGGCCCTTCAGGCGGCCCGGCTGCCTCGGGTGCGCGGGATGGGGGACCGCCGCCGCTGCTGCTGCTGCTGCTGCTGCTGCTGCTGCTGGAGAAAGCTGCTGCTGCTGCAGCAAGAGCCCGCTTGGGATAGGCGCAGAGGCAAACAGCAGCAAGGCCGCCCTGTTCAGACACCGCAAAGCAGCGGAGGGCTCTTCCGCGGGGGTCAGCATACAGCCGAAGCACTGAGGAGGGTCTGTCCGCAGTGATGTTTTGGCGAATGCAAATGTCCATTGGATTAAAAAAGGAAAATAAAAAGAATTAAATGATAAAAAGGGTTTATTTGAGGGTTTAATCCCTTTATTTGAGGGTTTAATCCCGCAGTTGGGCGCTCGCGGCGCCGCAGCCGCCTCAGAGCAGCTGCTGCTGCCACCGCGGACTCCGCTGCAGCAGCCAGCCTTTTCTCCGCTTAAACTGCAGCAAAAGTGCAGCAAATTAATTCAATTAATTCAATTAATTCATTTAATTCAATTAAATGACTTAATTGAATTAAATGCAAAAGCTTTCCCACGCAGCCACGCGGCTGGCCTTTCTGCTGCTGCTGCTGTGCTGCGCGTACACCCGGAGCTGCTCAGGACCGCTGGTGTCTGTACACTGCAGCAGCAGCAACCCCTCTGCTGCTGCAGCAAACTTCATTTCAATTTCATTTATTTAATTCTTCAAACATCACTTTTCAAAACCCAACTTCCATTAAAAACAGCCACAGACTCCAGCAAACACCCAGCATCGACGACGCGGCTCGGGGGCCCCCACGAGGCCCCCCAGGGGCCCCTAGGGGGCCCCCCTACAGGGGGCCCCCAGGGGGCCCCCAGAGGGTACTAGAGGGGCCCCAGGGGGCCCCCAGTGTCTGTCTGTCTTTTTTAAAGGGCTGGGGTGTACATACACCCTAGTTAAATGGTTTATTTCTTTAATTTGTTCATTTCAAATCGGCCAAGTGTCTTTCGGACTGTGTTCCTCCTTCTAAACCCTAAACCCTAAACCCTAAACCCTAAACCCTAAACCCTAAACCCTAACCGTAGCTGACAAACCCTAGACCCGAACGGCTGAAGTCCAAACCCTAAACCCTAAACCCTAAACCCTCGACTTTTCCCCCACGGGGGGCTGTGGGGCCCCACAAGGAAACCCGAAATAGAGGAAAAGAGGAAGCAGCAGCTAGAGACTCAATTTGCTTTCTTTGCTGCTCTCCTTCCACCTTCTGCTGCTGCAGCAGCAGCAGCACCCGCAGCAGCAGCAGCAGCAGCAGCTGAAGCAGCAACAGCAGCAGCGGCAGCAGTAGCTGCAGCTGCAACAGCAACAGTACCAGCAACAGGAGCATCTGCTGCAGCAGCAGCAACAGCACCGGCAGCAGCAGCAGCTGCTGCTGCAGATTCCCCCTCTCTTGCTGCGAGTTGCTGCTGCTGCTCTGCGCCTCATGGGGCAGCTAGCTAGCTGGCTGCTGGCTAGCTGGCTGCTGGCTAGCTGGCTAGCTAGCTGCCCGCTGGCTAGCTGCCTCTTGGCTAGCCGCCGGGCCTTTGTTTCTCTGTCTCCTTTGCCCAGTGCCTTCATGGGGCCCTGGGCCGCTGACGCTGCTGCTGCTGCTGCTGCTGCTGCTGCTGCTGCTACTGCAGCGAACGCTGCAGCAGCTGCTGCAGCAACGCGCGTCGCGGCGCAGCAGAAGCCGCCGCGGCAGCACCTGGCTCTCTTCTCAGCAGCAGACACTACAGCAGCAGCAACAGGAGAAGCAGCAGCAGCGGGAGATGCAGCAGCAGCAACAGAGGCCGCCACAGCAGCAGCAGCAGAGGCCGCCACAGCAGCAACAGCAGCAGCAGAGGCAGCAGCAGCAGCGCCGCAGCAGGAAGCTGAGGCGCAGCACTTGGGAGCGGGCCCGGGCGGCGACTGCCCCCTAGGCAGCAGCAGCGAGGACCCCACAGCAGCAGCAGCAGCAGCAGCAGCAGCAGCAGCAGCAGCAGCAGCAGATAGGGTGCCGCTGTCGGATGCTGCAGTTGAAGAAGTCTTGACGCAGCTGCGGCCGCTGCTGCAGAGCCACGGAGGTTCTGTGCTGCTGATTGAAACAAATAAAGAAAAGCGGCAGATAACGCTGGAGCTGCAGGTGGGAGGGTTTAGGGTTTAGGGTTTAGGGTTTAGGGTTTAGGGTTTAGGGTTTAGGGTTTAGGGTGTTTGTCTCAGATGGAATTGAACGATAAGCTTCCTGATGCAGCAGGCTCCGTCCGCATTGAGGCGGTGGAGGCAGCAGCATGAGGAGTTTGCTGCTGCAGCGTCTTGTTTTTTTTGCTGCTGCTGCTGCTGCTGCTACTGCAGCAACAGCAGCTGCTGCTGCAGCTGCTGCTGCAGCTGCTGCTGCAGCTGCTGCTGCAGCTGCTGCTGCAGCTGCTGCTGCAGCTGCTGCTTCTCCTAGTTTTGCTGCATCGCTGCAAGTCGGAGTTCTCGCATTTGGGCCATCTACCACTCGTTAGTATATTCATTAATCCAATATTTATTTGTTTATTTATTTATTTATTTATTTATTTATTTATTTAGTTAGTTAGTTAGTTAGTTAGTTAGTTAGTTATTTAGTTAGTTGTTTATTTATTTATTTATTTATTTATTTAGTTAGTTAGTTAGTTAGTTAGTTAGTTGTTTATTATTTATTTATTTAGTTAGCTAGTTACTTAGTTAGTTAGTTAGTCACTTAGTTAGTTTGTTATTTATTTGTTTAGTTAGTTAGTTGTTCATTTATTTATTTATTAATTTAGTTATTTAGTTAGTTAGTTAGTTAGTTGTTTATTTATTTATTTATTTAGTTATTTAGTTAGTTAGTTAGTTGTTTATTTATTTATTTATTTATTTACTTAGTTAGTTAGTTAGTTAGTTAGTTAGTTAGTTAGTTTGTTATGTATTTATTTAGTTAGTTAGTTAGTTAGTTGTTTATTTATTTATTTATTTATTTATTTAGTTAGTTGGTTAGTTAGTTAGTTAGTTAGTTGTTTATTCTGTTATTTATTTATTCATTTATTTATTTATTTATTTATTTATTTATTTATTTATTTATTTATTTATTTATTTATTTTGTTAGTTATTTAGTTTGTTTGTTTGTTCTCTTCTGAGGGGCAAACAAAACCCTAAAGAGAAAAAAAACCCTAAGACAATAAAAGTTTCTCTTTATTATTATTATTATTATTATTATTATTATTATTATTATTATTATTATATTATCATTATATTATTATATGGTTATTATTATATTATTATTATTACTAATTATTAGTATTATTACTACTATAACTATTATTATTATATTATTAGTGTTACAACATTGTATTATTATTATTATTATTATTATTATTATTATTATTATTATTATTATCATATTATTATTATTATTAAACTTGTGGAGGTTTTCGAAAGGTTTAAATTTCCTTTTGCTTCGCGGCCTTCAGGTGTACGTACACCCCACGCCCGTGGGGGGCGTTTGCAGTTTGTCTTTTAAATGCAATATTAATCATTTATATAATCTTTTATGAATTTGAAAAATAAATTAATGTTTTTAAATAATAGATTGGCAAATAAACTCCAAAAGAAAAGACAGAAATGGGCTGCGGACAAAACGCCAAAAACCCTAAACCCTAGCCGAAGAGGCCTAAACCACGTTTTAGGGTTTAGGGTTTGGAAACCCAACGCAATGAGCCCATAACAGACCAGCTAGCTAGCGGAGGTGCAGCAGCTAGTTGGGGCTACTCGCCCCCAGGAAACTGAGCAGCTAGCTAGCTAGCTGCACGGATGGCTAGCTAGCTATATACCCAGCTAGCTAGCTGCGCAATGGCTAGCTGCACAGCTAGCTAGCTGCATCCACACACTAAGACTTGGCAGCAAAGGCACCCTCTTCGAGGCAGCTAACAGTCTAGCTAGCTAGCTAGCTGGTAGCTAGCCAGCCAGCTGGTTGGCTAGCTAGCTAACTAGCTGGCTAGCTGGATACCTGGCCAGCCAGCTGGTTGGCTAGCTAGCAAACTAGCTAGCTAGCTGGCTAGCCAGCTAAACTGCGCAGAAAGCTGCCTCCAGCATGCCATCCCCAGGGCCAACTCAACTTTGCTGCTGCTCTTTCATTTTCAACCTCTTTGCTTCGAGACAAACAGCAGCAGCAAAACAGCCCCACAGCGAAGCTGCTGCTGCTGCTGCTGCTGCTGCTGCTGCTGCTGCTGCTGCTGGCCGGAGTCATTTTCACCGAAATGGCGGAAATTGGGTGAAGTTGAACTCAACTATTTTGCAAATCCAAATGGAGGGCCGAAGGGGTCATTACTTTTGTTCTCAGGACTATTTAATTTGAAAATGTGAATTAAAAGTAATTAAAAATGAACTTTAATTTATTTTGGAAGGCCAAAGACTCGACTCTAAGCCTAAGCGGCAGCGGCAGCAGCAGCGTTCGCGAGGTGTCTGTACACCGCAGCGCCGCAGTTCAAGTGCAGTTCAAGTTTCGACTTTTCGCAAAAAGCAACAGAAATAAATATCCGAGAAGTTCCAGTTTGCTTTTTGCTGCTGTTTTTGCTGCTGTTTTTGCTGCTGGGGAGGGAGTTGGGGGCAAAAGGAGGGGAAATGCGCCAGCACTGCAGCAGCTGCTGCTGCAGCACTGCAGCAGCAGCTGCTGCTGCTGCTGCTGCTGCTGCTGCATGCAGAGCCTGTGCAGCAGCTACTGCGCGGGCTTGGCAGCAGCAACTCCGGCCTTTTTGTTTTCTTCCTTCAGCTTCCTCTTTTCCTTCTGGGCTGCTGCCTTCTGCTTCCGCGCGTCCACCTGCTCCTGCAGCGCCTTCTCCTTGACCTTCAAGTTCTTCTCATTGTGAATTGCTTCGATGCTTCGATCAAAACTCTTTTGTTTTTGAACTGGTTCCCCTTGCACCGCACGTACAGCTTGTGGTACCTGCAGCAGCAGCAGCAGCAGCAGCAGCGCAGCAGCAGCAGCAGCAGCAGCGCAGCAGCAGCAGCAGGAGTGGAAAGCTGGGCGATCTGGGGTCAAATTGCGTCAAATTTCGGCGAGTAAACTCGAATAATATAAAATAAATAATTTGGAAGAATAAAATAAACAAAAAAGCCGAAAAAAGCGCCGCTTTCCACCCAAAGACCCCACATGTGGCTGTCGATCTTCTTCGCGTCTCTGTACTTCTTCAGCAGCCGCCGCAGCACGCGCTGCCGCCGCATCCAAAGCACCTTCGCAGGCAGCCGCGCGTCTCGAGTGCCTTTCCGCTTCCCAATCCCCATGTGCCGCCCTTCACGCCAAACAACACACAAACCAACCAACACTGCAGCAGCAGCAGCAGCAGCAGCAGCAGCAGCAGCAGCACGAGCAGCAGCAGCAGCACAAACAGCAGCAGCAGCAGTACCCCGAGCACCAGCACCCCATCCTCCCCCCTCCCCTCCCCTCCC